TATAAAACATTAGAAATATTACTGTCTTTCTGAGCTCAAATTTATCATATGGAAAAATTATTAATGTATAATAATAATTTTAGTTGTGACACTATTAGAGCACGTCTTAAAATGCCTTCTCTTCAAATATCAATCACAAGTTTTGAAGTGAGCAGACCAGTTAGTTACAAATTTAGGCAATGCTGTTAATCCTCAGACTTAATTCACAGAATCCAATAAAAATTATATTAATTATTTTTGTGACCAAAAAAACTCTTCAGAAACAGGGGCAAAGGGTATCTTCAATTCAAAGCTTCAATTATTTTCAAAGTTGCATAACCCTTCTGAGACATTGATGTGTAATATTGCTAAAAAATAGCAAGCACGAACAACCACTTGAACTTGATGTCCAAAGTTTTGTTGTGTAAGTATGATCAATGTAGATATATTGACCATATTGCTGAGCTAATTTCTAGTCTTAATCCTCACACTAGAGATTGGTCTTAATATCACATGGATCCAAGTCTCAAATCATGTGATTTGCCTTTCTGGTAAAACAGTTTCCATCATGAATCATCTAGACATAATTGAGAGTTCACTGTGAGGCCCCTTCTTCTCAGAGCAAATAGAAAGGTATGCTGAGACCCCAAAGATTTAGAAGTTACCTTGCTAAATCCAGGTTGTGGAGTTAACGTCCAAACATCATCTACACAAATTCAAAGCGGGTATCAGTGATATAGAGCCAATGAGCTGAAAGAATAAAGTTCAGTATTGTTTAGTGGTTCCATCTCTCTGTTCTGCAGTCTCCAGCCCCTTTGTTAAACTCTCCTGGTGATTTCATATGTGTGATCTCATATTAACTGTTGGCAGTGAATTCATTGGGTTGACAGTGATCAGAAATGCAGCATCACTAAAAAGTTTCCCTCAGTTCTAAATAATTTTATTTCTCTTTTATGTGTTCTAACCCAAAAGCTATTTCGCTCAGTGAACACTAAACTTTTCTTTTTGGACACTCTGTTCTTCATTCTAGAATTTATCTTGTTTATCTTTTGTATCAATTTCATTGTGACAAACCAAATTTTTCTTGAAAGATTTCCCAAACTCTTTTAGCTGGACTGAATTCCTCTATGTACTTTCATAATATCGAAAGAGAAACCAAGATTCCACTAGTTAATATTTTAGTACATATAGAATAACATTTTAAAATAAACACCAAAATTTGTTTTAGGATTTTGCCCCAGATAAAAAAAATATATATCTTGCTGTGCGGGAGAGATACTCTCGGTAGCTTGCCAGGCTCTCCGAGAAGGGCAGAGGAATCAAACTCGGGTATAAGAAAAAATATAACACTGAAGTAAAGGGAAATTTTATGCTAGCTATAATCTTTTCTTGCAGTCTCCTGCCCCCGCGCCTGGCTGTCCTCGCCCGGACCCCTTGGAAGAGAGTGAGTTGAGCTTTCCTCCCCGCCCAGACCACAGCTCCGGCAGCCAAAGACCTCCAGGACCAGCCACCACCATGCTGAGACCACTCTCTGCACACATGAAGGTACTGGCAGAGGGACAAAGTCACGTGGGTTCCGGGGCCAAGATCTCCAAGCCTACTCGGATTTGGGCTGAGCATCCTCCACCCAGAGCCTCCAAATTCCAGTAGGCGGGGGTCACACCCACCAACTGGCCCCCTGGCGCCGTGTAATCCCATCAACGGCCAAAACTCAGAGACTATAAAAACCAGCTCCCGGAACGGCACGGCCGCATTCGAGGCCATGCGATATCTTATTATGACATCTCATTATCTCATTCCTACTTTGGACAAACTGGCAGGCTACCGAATGTAGCCTGCCCACACGGCAGAGTCTGGCAAACTCCCCGTGGTGTACCCAATATGCCAAATACCAGTAACAATGATGGGTCTCATTCTCCTAAAGAGCCTTGAATATAATCTCAGGGCTAGGATGAAGGAGACGTTACTGGGGCCTGCTCGAGGCAATCAACGAATAACAGGATGATTTGTGATTTGTGATTTTGTGATGTGTTCTAACCCAAAAGCTATTTCGCTCAGTGAACACTAAACTTTTCTTTTTGGATACACTTTTGTTCTCCATTCTAGAATTGATCTTGTTTATCTTTTGTATCAATTTCATTGTGGCAAACCAAATTTTTCTTGAAAGATTTCCCAAACTCTTCAAGCTGGACTGAATCCCTCTATGTACTTTCATAATATAGAAAGAGAAACCAAGACTCCACTAGTTAATATTTTAGTACATATAGAATAACATTTTCAATAAACCCCAAAATTTGTTTTAGGATTTTGCCCCAGATAAAAAAAATATATATCTTGCTGTGCGGGAGAGATACTCTCGGTAGCTTGCCAGGCTCTCCAAGAAGGGCAGAGGAATCAAACTCGGGTATAAGAAAAAATATAACGCTGAAATAAAGGGAAATTTTATGCTATCTATAATCTTTTCTTGCTTCTAGGTAATAGCTTCTAAAAGGTATTTTAAGAGATTATAGAACTTCTTTAGCAAATTAGTTTCTTCCACCATTTTCTCTTTTATAGTATTTAAAAATAACAATAAGTCAACTTTGTTATTTTTTTTAAATAGAAAGTTCATAAATCTGATCTTACATCCACAAATCCTTTGATTTTATGTTGTAATGACTTATTTGATTTGATTTAATAATTGCGTAGTAAATAAACTTCAGAAATTCATTTAAATTATTTGATGTTTAAAATCAGAAGCGTAGATAAGGCGGTAATTGATGTATTTGCAAAATTGAATTATTTTTGAATGCTTTGGGGAATTACTTTGTAGCTGTCCCCAACTCCTGTGATCAAGGGTTCTTTGGCAGTACTCAAGGGACCAGGTGGTGCTGAGCCTCAAATTCAAATTGCCTGCATTCAAAACGGTGCAGTCCATGAATTATCTTTTTAACCCCAGATTAAATTATTTCACAGTGATGAGTTACAGTAGGTTTTTGCAGTAGGGATATGGGTATCTTATCTTTGAATAGCGGACATTCTAAGCACCCTATGGGCTGTCCTATCTCTATGGTTCCCCAAAAGTACTTCTTTAAGGAATACATACAGGTGACCAGTAAGCACATGACAAAATATTTATCTTTACCAATTATTAGGGAAATTCAAACCAAAACCAAAAATGTTCATTGAATGGCCATTTAAAATAGCAAATGCATGTCTAAGAGCCCAAGGAGAGTTGAATAGATAATGTAACATGGTTTATATATACAATGAAAGGCTACTCGGCTCTTAGAAAAGATGAAACCTCACATCTTACTGCAACATAAACTCAACTAGAAGGGTTATTGCTAAGTAAGATCATTTAGAAGGGATAAAAAAAATGTTAGCGTATAAATTATATAATGAAACAAATCAAGAGACACACAATGTCCAGTAAAAGTGAATACTTAGGATCTGATGACAAAATTGAGAATACCAAGGTGGTGTCATGAAAACTAAAAAATGATGTGAATTTCTTGCTTGATTTTGGGTCCATGTGAGTATAAAGGAGAATAAGATAGAGAAATAAAAAAGGCATCTTAGAAGTTAGAATTTGGTTCATAGCACAAGAAAAAAATGGTCACACTAGTATACAGTTCAATTTGCTCTAACATAAATAAATACATACCAGACCTGAAATAATCTCCTTAAGTGAGTGATTGACTACAGGCTCACAAAAATGACTAGAATTATGCTGAAAAGAGCTTCAATATTTTCATTTTTTCAAGGTTATTTTCAAGGTAGATAAATCAAGAGTTTTATGTTCTGATAAAAAGGACCTGCTCGATAAACAGTAGCACAATGTTGAGAATCTTGACTTTGGGATTTCAAATATTTAGCATATTAGGAAATAATGAGAACAAATGTTTAGGGGGGAAAAGATTTTGGTTTATGTCATTCAGCAAATGCATTGGGGATTTTATTTTCAAAATAAAATAAAAACTAGAGGGAGTTGCATGAACATCAAAGCAGCACACAGTATTATTAAAAAGTTAATCAAGTGGAGTGAAATGGATGAAAATAAGAAAAATTGGGAGAAATGGGTGAAATTCTTCAATTGTTCAAGGAAACAATACTGTAACCTGCTTTAATGTTGGTAGGTCTGGGGAAATGGAGAACAATTGGTAAATCTCATTTTCTCTACTTACACTACAGCTGACAAACCAGATTTGGCAGCTGAATAAATACCAGACTCTAGGGAATGAAGTCAAAGTTTACATCAATATTTCAAGAATGGGTAAATGGAAATGACGAGTCTTGCTGTTTATAGCTAATTCCACTAAAAACTGTCTGAGTGATATAGAACACATGATTTCTAATGCACTGCAACACAAATGTCATTCTGATGATATGATCATATCTATATTTTCAATGTACTTGTACCATCAGTCTCAGATTACAGCAGTGATTAACTTACAGAGAAACATAGTTTTTAAAGTACTAATTGTAAATACAAAGTTCTCTGATATACCCCTCTGCCAAAGTGTTGTGATTTTTGTTGTGCAAATTGATATTGAGGACTATTTATGCTCACTGTTATTGTCTATACATTGCTCTAAATGTCGATAGAAAATGAGAAAGATTTCATAGCATCCCTTAAAATAGATGTTGTCAGGTTATTTGAAATATTATATTTCTATGCCTTTTCCCCCTAAAACCAATTGATTTTTTTACTACAGAATCACAAGATTTTATCTTTTTCTTCAGCACGGTACTATATTGCAATGCTTTGCTGTGCTTCTATCTTCTAATTTTTTGCAACTGAGTAGATGTGAGTTATACATCAGACTTGAGAGTAAAGGAAAATTAGTGCTTCTTTTTGGGAGACATAAATTGCTAATTCTTATTAAAGTAAAGTTACTCTAAAGAGTCTGTTCTAAAGTTAGTCAGGTCAGGATAAAAAGTATCAAACATAAGTTTATGAAACTATCAATGGTGAGGTGTGGAGTTACAACAATACTCATCTAAAACCAATAATTGTTAAATTTATTTATTTATCTTTACCTTGTTTAAAACTTGCCCATTTGCTTCATGGCAGACTATGAGACCTGTGAAGAAAGCTGCAGTATTACTTTTTTCCTTTCTACAAACACCAAGACCAGTGTTCAGACATGAAGGGAAAGGGAATGGAAGGGTTATAATCATTACATTTAGAAAGCAAATCATAGAGCCGTATGATGAAAGTCATGGTCATGGTCCTCCCATTTTTCATCGATTTGCTCAAGCGGGCCCAGTAATATCTCTATCGTGAGACTTGTTACTGTGTTTGGCATATCAAATACGTCACGGGTAGCTTGCCAGGCTTTGCCATGCAGGCGAGATACTCTCTGTAGCTTGCCGGGTTCTTGGAGAGGGGTGGTGGAATCAAACTCGGGTCGTTCATATTGGTTGCTTGCAAGGCAAACTCCTTACCCGCTGTGCTATCGCTCCAGCCCATGATGAAAGTATTTTTATTAAATAGCACAGCGGGTAGGGCGTTCGCCTTACAAGCGGCCAACATGGCCGACCCGAGTTCGATTCCTCCGCCCCTCTCGGAGACCCCGGCAAGCTACCGAGAGTATTCGATATGTCAGGCACAGTAACAACAAAGTCTCCAATGGAGACGTTACTGGGCCCGCTCAAGCAAATCAACGATCAACGGGAGGGCCTTTACCTTTACCTTTTATTTTAACTTTATAAGAGATCATATTCTCTGAATAAGACACAGAAATATCAGTGGAATCAAAGAATCTTGATGTAAAAACCTTTTTCTTCAGCAAATCAACGATCAACGGGAGGGCCTTTACCTTTACCTTTTATTTTAACTTTATAAGAGATCATATTCTCTGAATAAGACACAGAAATATCAGTGGAATCAAAGAATCTTGATGTACCAACTTGTATGTAATCTTGAGAAGTTACTTCCCTTCTAAGAGGACAGAGGGGAAGAAATTCTTTGTACAAAGGGCAATCATAAAAATCATTACATTAAAAAAATTAAAAATATTGAGCAATCACCTATAGATACTACTGAAATATATTAAGTGCTAAAAAATCTTTATTCCAAACAATACAGATACTGGGTATTTCTTTAAAGATCAGAATGAATAATATAGAAAGAATTTAAACATATGCATACAATGCGCACATATGTACAGATACTCAAAATTTAAGTATTAAAAGCTATTTTTTTTTCAACTGGAAAAACTCTCAACTAGACTAAAAGTATATCCCTAATATATCTTTCGTTAAAATGAGTAGAGTTTGGGGGAGTCATACCCTGCATGCTCAGGGCTTGTACCTGGCAGTGCTTGGGGTAACCCTATATTGTACTGGAGATTGATTGCAGGGTCAGTGACATGCAAGTCACCTTTGCCCTGTACTACTTCTCTGGCTCCCGAAATGATTTTTCCAAAATAATATTGTATGAGGTAATGTAGCTTATACCAGTTTCTACTATAGAGCTTTATACTCACAACACAGTTTAACCACCTCCTTCCACCGGATTGTTAGTATGAAATAAATTTCAGTAAGGACAGATTGAATAATATTAAGGTTCACAGCCTAAAACAAACACCCATTCTTATTTACTGGAAGAACATTCTCAGAAGCCACATTCAATGTCCAATCACAGTGTTTTCAAAAATAATTTATTAATAAGTGATTTTAATTCATTTTTGTTATTTTGTTAAAGTTTAATCTTAAAAACTAAGTAACCCAAACTCAAAGGTCAATTTTTATTTCTGCACTATAATAATTTCACAAAAATTCTTCCCTAAACTGATTCCCAATAGGTAATGAGTACTAACTTGAATCTTTTTGTATTGTAAAAGTTAATTTATATGAATGTGACTTGAAAATTAAAATCTATTTTTTAAAATTTTAAAAATTGAGTTATTATTTTATGTTTTTTTTAATTTGTGGGTTTGGGGCCACAACCAGCAGTGCCCAGGGTTTACTTGATTTTTTTTTAGATTTTGGGCTACACCTTGCAATGCTCAGGATAAATTATGTGTAGGCTCTGATCTGCACTCAGGATTCACACTCCAGAGACCATATGAATGCCAGGGATCGAACTTAGTCACCCACATGTGAGGCAAGCACCCTACTTGTTGTACTATCTCTCCTTCCCAACAAAAATAAACATATATAATTGATAAAGATTCCAAATAGGGATCATATTTTATTTACTGCAATGAATAAATAATACGAGGCAAATGAAGCCAATGTTAAATTATTTCATATGCTTTGCTTACTGAAGGACAGGTGTCATGGCTAACTCCTACCTCTATGTTCAGGGAGTAGTTCTGGTAGTGTTTGAGGGACCATACGTGGTATCAGGGATTAAACTGCAGTGAGCTACATGCAAAACAGGCTCCTTAACACCTTGCACCAAAGTGCCTTTATAGGAACTCTAAAGTAGATGCAATCCATCTGAGGTCTCACTTTTAGAAATAGGGCACACACAAAAATAAACCAAAAGACACACTAGTTTAGGAAATAACTGAGAAATAATATTTTTTATTAGTGAAACACCATGAGGTACAGTTATAGACTTACAAATTTTTGTTCTTGCGTTTCAGTTATACAATGATCAAGTACCTATCCCTCCACCAGTGCCCATTTTCCACCAACATGGGTCCCAGTATCCCTCCCATCGCCCATCCCCCTTTCCATTTCACCCTGCCTCTGTGGCAGGGCATTCCCTTTTGTTCTCTCTCTCCTTTTAGGTTCTGTGGTTTGCAAGATGAGGCACTGAGTGGCAATCATGTTTGGTCTATAATCTACTTTCAGCATGCTTCTCCCATCCTGGGAGGATCCTCCCAACACCCTTTATTTGGTGCTCTCTTCTCTATCTGAGCTTCCTTTTCCATTAGCACGTGTGGCTGGCCTCCAAGTCATGGAGCTAATCTCAGCCACTCCTGGATGTTAGCCTCACATTTTGTTACTTTATGTTCCCCAGATGAATGCAATCTTTCTGTGTCTATCCCGCTCTTTCTGACTCATTTTGCTTAACATGATACTTTCCATGTAGTACCACTTGTATGTAAATTTCATGACTTCGTCTTTTCTAACAGCTACATATTACTCCATTGTGTAAATGTACCAAAGTTTCTTTAACCAGTCATCTGTTCTCTGGGCACTCAGGTTTTTTTCAAGATTCTGGCTATTGTAAAGAGTGCTGCAATGAACAAACAAGTGCAGATGTCACTTCGACTATATTTTTTTGCCTCTCTGGGATATATTCTCAGGAGTGGTATTGCTGGGTCAAATGGGAGCTCAAATTCTAATTTTTTTGAGAATCGTCCATACTGTTTTCCAAAAGGGTCGAACCAGTCAGCATTTCCACCAGCAGTGAAGGAGGGTCCCTTTCTAGCCACATCTGCACCAGCACTGGTTGCTTTTGTTCTTTTGGATGTGGGCCAGTCTCTGTGATTTGAAAGGATATCTTGTTGTTTTTATCTGCATCTTTCTGATGACTGAAGATGTAGAGCATTTTCTCATGTGCCTTTTAGCCATTCTAATTTCTTCTTTGAGAAAGTTTCTGTTCATTTCATCGCCCCATTTTTTATGGGGTTGGATGTTTTCTTCTTGTGGAGTTAAACCAGTACCTTGTATATCCTTGATATCATCCCCTTGTCGGATGTGCATTTGGCGAATACTCTTTCCCATTCTGTAGACTGTCTTTGTATTTTGGTCACTGTTTCTTGTGAGGTGCAGAAGCTTCTTAGTTTAAGATAATCCCATTTATCTATCTCTACTTTCACTTGCTTGGCCAGTGGTGTGACATCTTTGAAGATACCAATTAGCTTCAATATCATGGAGGGTTTTGCCAACTTTGTCTTCAATATAGTACTGGAAGTACTTGCAATAGCGATTAAGCAAGAAAAAGATATTAAGGGAATCCAGGTAGGGAAGGAAGAAATCAAGCTCTCACTATTTGCAGATGATATGATACTATACTTAGAGAACACTAAAACCTCTAACAAGAAACTCCTAGAAACAATAGACTTGTATAGTAAAGTGACAGGCTATAAAGTTAATACCCAAAATCCATAGCTTTCCTATATGCAAATAGTGAGAAAGAAGAAAGTGACATGAAGAAAACAATCCCGTTCACAATTGTGCCCCAGAAAATCAAGTATCTAGGAATCAGCTTAACTAAGGAAGGTAAGGACCTGTACAAAGAAAACTACAAAACGCTACTTCAGGATATAAAAGAGGACATGAGGAAATGGAAAGGTATCCCCTGTTTATGGATGGCGAGAATTAACATTGTCAAAATGGCAATACTTACCAAAGCACTGTACAAATTCAATGGGATCCCTATAAGCATACCCATGACATTCTTCAAAGAAATGGAGCAAACACTGCTGAAATTTATATGGAACAATAAGCCTCCATGAATAGCTAAAGCAATTCTTGGGAAAAAGAAGACGGGAGGAATCAACCTCCCTAACTTCAAGCTCTACTACAAAGCAGTTATAATTAAAACAGCATGGTACTAGAACAAAGGCAGAGCTGTAGACCAATGGAACAGGGTTGAATATACTGACATCTCCCCCCAAACATATGATTATCTAATCTTTGATAAGGGGGTAAGTAAAGTGAAGTGGAGCAGGGAAAGCCTCTTTAACAAATTGTGCTGGCAAAACTGGATGGCTACATGCAAAAAAGTGGGCTCAGATCTCTGCCTAACACCATGTACAAAAGTAAGATCAAAATGGATTAAAGACCTCAACATAAGACTCGAATCCATAAAGTTCATTGAAGAGAAATAATATTTTGATTTGTACTTGAAGTTTTACCAGACTTCTGCACTGTATTCATATTTTAGGAAGTAATATCAAGTTTATGAGCACTTATGAAACCTTTATCATCCTAGATTTTCTGTGTAATAGTCATGGATTTGCAAATCTCAAAACTGATATCTCATATAATTTGAATGAGTGAATAATGCATCTTTATTCCACCTTGTAGTTTCTAACTATGTCCAATAGTTCATTATTAAGCTGAGTACTTAAGCACACAACAACGTCAATAAAAAATGGTTTCCCTCCAAGACAGACCTTAGCACAATGCCGTAAGACAGATCTATAGGAAAATAGGTCAAAAGTTTTACTGAAGGTTGATGGTCCATTTAATATATAACAAGT